AAGAAAACACTCACAATGTCTCATCCCTTACTTTTTAATTTATTTAACTTGAAATGGAATGATGCCTTTGTTGGCGCATATGCACATTTTGAAAACTTGGACACAATCGTCTCCCTAACCAAATATGTGTTTCCACATGATAACCAATCCCTCAAATTTCTTTTTAGATGTTCAAGACAAAATCCATGATATCAATTAGGGAAAAACTTAGCAATTCCTTTCACAATACCACAATGTCGATCTGATATGAAACTTATCACTCTCTCCGATCCCAATACTTCACATAAATGTTCAAGGAACCAACAACAATTGTCTTCATTCAAAGTATTAACAATGGCAAAAGCTATAGGAAAAAAACTTACAAAACAAATAGGAATAAGGGTTGGTTTGGCATGAACTATATAATCTATCTTTTTATCTTTTTATCTTTTTTTATCACATCACCTCTCTATTTTTCTGCACATCTTTTCGTAAAAAGACAAAAAGTGCACTTTTTTAGGACACCCCAAACCAACCCTAAGTATATTAGATATACACATGCAGAGAAAATTAGAACAATAAACAACTAGAGAAATTTGACACTGCCAATATCCAAAGAAACTTTATACATTGGCCAAATCTAGAGAAAATTCACACAATGGCAACCTCCAAAGAAAACTCACTTAGTGACCAACTCCAGAGAAAATTCACACATTGGCAACATTCAAAGAAAATTCACTTAGTGACCAACTACCAAGAAAATTCACACAATGACAATATCGAGAGAAAATTCACTTAGTGACCAACTACAGATAAAATTCATACAATGACAACATCCAGGGAAAATTCACACACTGACCAAAATTTAGAGAAAATTCACACAGTAGCCAAAACTAGAGAAAATTCAAAATGTCAGAGAAAAATCATAAAACATAACCACAAAAATAGAAAATTCACTCAATTCCCACATGTATAGAAAATTCACATACTTAGATAAAATTAGATATATTTACAATTTTACAATTACCCAATGTGTTTGGTTTGAGTTTTTTGGATTAAATTTTTTTGAAAACTGAGTTTTTTGGTTTTCGTGTTTTTTTTTTGTTTTTGTTTTTAGTGAATATTTTAAACATTTTTTTTTACTTTTTTAGATGTACTTACTTAGGTGATCTAAAAAGTAAAAAATTTGTGAAAAGATATTTTAAAAAATTAATAAATACATAAAAATACAAAAAAAAAATGTACTGAATTCTCTTTCTTTTTTTTTTTGTATTTTTGGTATTTAGTGAATTTTTAGAAGGTTTTTTTCACAAATTTTTTACTTTTTAGGTATATTTATGTTAGATATGTCTAAAAATTAAAAAAAAATTGCTTAAAATATTAAAAAAATTCAGTAAAAACAAAAAAATACGGAAAACTAGAAAGTAGAATTTTCTGAAAATTGTTTTTGGAAAACTCTAACCAAGCAAAGTTAACGCTTCGTTTGGTAAGAAATGTTGGGTTGGGTTGGGTTGGGTTTGGGGGGGCTATTTTAACTACAAAAAGATAAAATAGGTTTTTTTAACTTAATAAGATAAAATATTACATCTAACTCATAATTATTACATTATTTTTCTCACAAAAAATCAAAAAAACTAAAAAATCATTCCCAAACTATACTTTTTAACTCTAAGTTAAAATAGTCAAAAAAACAAAAAAAAATTAAACCACTTCTCAAACGAACCCTGAAGTGGGGAAGAAAAGTGAAGCAGATGAGCGATGAACTGTCTTTTAACAACAATGAAGGAAACAAAAATTAAATTGCCTAAATTGAATATTATTGTTAGTTACAACTAAATTATTAATTGAAATAAATTTTTACATTATTAAAAATTATTAATTAACTTGATAATTTATTGATAAAAAAGATCATTTGTTATGAAATTAAAAATTTTAAGAGACGAGATATAATTTTTAGAATCACAAGAACAAATTATATATTTTTTAAACAAATTTTAGAGAGTATATTTATAATTTGCCTAAAAATATTTTATCACATCAAACATTCCACCCAATATATCAAATTCATTACTTTAATTTAGTTTTTATTTAATAATTTTTAAACTCTTTTTATAGGTCCTTATAATAAACATATGCGCAAATTATACTACACCCTGATGATTAAAAAAAATATAATTTTGACATAATTATATTGATATCTTTTTAAATAAAGTTAAAGTGATCAAAATTAATATAAATGCTATAAAATATAAAGATATATAAGGAAAAATATACATTTCAATCCAAAAGAGAGGATAACATCATTTTTTAATGGGAAAATCGGTCTAGGGTCCCTCTTCCACTTTTCGTAATGGAAGAGATCCACAAAATTATTTTTTGATGCCTAAGGTCCCTAAACATATATCAGATGAAAGTTTCAACGGCTCATCTCTTTCCACTCACTGAAAGACCTCTCGATCGTCTTCAACACTGGACAATTCGATTTACACAAACTCAATTTGACCGATTCAATGATCGGAAACTCCGAAACCAAACTTCAATTAGAAACCCTAGGTTTGTCCGGGATTCAACACTGCGATTACGGCCTCAGTTGGCTCTGGAGGAGTTGTAAACAGCTCAAGAAACTCCAATTGCGAAGCTGCTATGCAATCGGCGATGAATCATCACTCTCATCGTTCGTCGAATGCTTAATTGGTCTCCAAGAAGTGGAATTGTGGACATGTAGGGCGATAATCAACGAGGTTCCTCTTCCTCCTCCTCTTTCATACACTTTCTCATTCTAGGGTTTCAAGTTCTTGAACCCCTTCAATTTCATTTTAATTCATCATCCCCTGTTTTCCCTACTATTCCGTCAAGCTTTTATTGTTGATGGACCTTAGACATCATAAAAATATTTGATGTCTTTTATGCTATAAAATCATAAGATCAAGGACCTTAAAAAAAAAACCCCTTTTTTAATCATACAACTGACGAATTTATGATAAAGGGGGTCAAGTGTTACATGCATTGAAACTTTTGGGAAAACCAATGTAATTATGCTAAATTTGTGGGGCTTACTATATATTTCTTGAATTCCAGGGAAGATCAATGTAATTTATCCTTAAAATAATATTTTTTTAATAAAAAAAGCGACATATTTTTTTGGAAAAATTACTATTCAGCACGAATTTTGAAAATTTATTACACATTAATGAAAAAGTTTATAATTTTAATATTAAATTTTTACAATGTTTACCATCTTTTTGTAATTTATTTTTTCTGACACCGCTGAGGCGTAGTTTTTCCTTCTTTTTTTTTGCTGTCAAATTTGACATTGTCTAAGATATACCAATTGCTAACTCACTTTTGCATATGCCAATGGTGTACAATTATATGCCAAAAGTGTCACCTTAAAAGAAATCGGATGAAAAACATTATTGGTTAAATTAGATAATCTACAGGATAAAATTGACATTTTAAAAAATACTATTGGTGACATTACAAAAAATGTTAGGTCCAACTAATGAAAGGTTAACAGAGAGGGAGGGGTTATGTGTAATGTGACTACTAATTTTGGGGAAGAAATTATAATTTTTAAAAAGTTAAGAGTACTAATGTAATAGGGACAAATCTCAACAGAGTGTGAATGTAATTTACTGAACCTAAATTTCAATCTCATATTTTAAACTTTTTTTTTGTTTTAGGCTTAGTTTGGGAAGGCTAAATAAGTGTATTTTTTTACTTTTTATAAAATATGGGTTGGGTTTGGGTTGGGTTTGAAGTGATGTGTTAGAGAGATGATATGACTTAAATAAGATGATATAACTTAAATAAGATAGTGACTTTTTGACTTTTTATTTTTTTTCAATCATGCCAAACTTGACTAAAAATAGAATTAATCGGGGTTCTTGATTGACCTGCCCTGCCAGTCCACACAAAATGACAAGGAAAATTTAATATATATGTCGATTTTATCATGATTCTCAATCATGGATTCGCTCTTTACATAAAATTTGTCGCTTAGATTCATGTCTTATCCATCTACTTTAACGCATTTTTATTATTTCGAGACTTTTGCCATGTATCTTACAAAAAGGAAAAATAAATTAAAAAATTAATAAGATAAATATTATATTTAAATTATAATTATAATTATAATTTTTTTATTATAAAAGTAAAAAAATTTATCCAAATAAATTTTTAATCTCAAATTAAAATAATTAAAAATAGTAATCTATTCATCTAATCGCATTCATACAAAAATAAATAGATGGTTTATTTTTAAAAGTACATTAACTGCTAATTTTTTTAACAGTTGTGCTAGGGAGCTCGAAAATGAGCTCCCCGAATCCCCCTAATTTTTTTGTTTGTTTGTTTGTTTCAGAAGCAGAAAATCAGAAGGAAGAAGGAGAAGAGAAGGAAGGAGGAAGGAGGAAGGAGGAGGAGGAGGAGGAGAAGAGGAACTGGAGGGGGCCATAATCACAGGGGAGGCGGAGGCGGAGGCGGGGCTGGGCAGAGGCGAGGCTGGGCTGGGCGGCGATTGGGTTGGGTTGGACGACGACGGGGACGACGAGCTGCGACATCCCGGCGACGAGCTCTTCCCTGCGACGGCGACGAGCTACGACCTGCCTCTCCCTCTCCCTCTCCCTGTCTCAGAGCTGCATGAAGAAGACGAAAGAAAAAAAAAAAGAAAATGCCCAAAACAACGTCGTTTTGGGCATTAAGGGGATTCGGGGGAAAGAATTCGAGCTCTGAAACATTATTCAAAAGAATGGGACTCTTTGGTTCCATTGCCAAACGATAAAGAACTTTTAATACCAAGTTAAAATAATTAAAAAGTCAACAAGTTAATTCAAAAAACCTATTTTCAAATGATAACACAATTAAGTGTGCATTGGAGATAAAAGAATGGGACTGGTGTAATTTATGTTTACAGTTTATAAGATAAAAATAATTTAATTAAATTAAAAACTAATTGTTGAGAAGTAGGTGGAGAGGTGTATTTGGTTTTTACTTTCTGATTTATAACTTTCAGCTTGCTAAAAGGTTTTAAAAAAAGTGATATGATTATCATAAATAAAAAAGTTATGGGAATAAAAAGACTTGAACCGACATGGGATGGGGTACAAATGTTCTAGAAAAGTTTTTGTTTTTGTTTTTATTTTTGTTTTTTTTAAGTAATTTTTTTTTAATGTCCACACCAAGCAAATTCCAGGAATCCTGCAGGGCCTTTATGGATGATTGACTTTGTAATTACAATTGGCTCATCCCTATTGTCTGCTGGGAAGTTTCTTTGCTGTTTCATCACTTCACTTTTCTTCTTTTTTATACTGCTAAAAACTGTCTGCTTGTTCATTCATTATTGTTTGCTTGTTTCATTCTATTCATTGTTGCGAGTTATTTAATTAATTTGTTTTTTTAACAAGGGTGAATTAATTGTGGAGAGTTTGAGATCATCATGTGGCAAGGAACTCTTTCAATCCAGTCATGTTTCCCAGAAGGAAACTCTACTCCAAACTCTGCCAGAAGCCAACCGAGCTCGGCCAGAAGCCAACCTTCAACAATGGTGACAATTGAGATGCCACCCAAGAATTTAGCATCCACAGTGGTTCCGCCACAGCCCTCCTCCCGGTCAGTTGTTTCGTTACAGCGCCCTGACCGTACCAACACTGTGATTGCAGCATTTTCTAACATGGTTCCAAGTGAAGTTACATCCGGGCCTGCCTCTGCTTCTCTACTCACATCACCCCGTGGATTGCTAAGAGTCAGTAAGTATATTCTGGACACTTAGGCCTCGTTTGGCCTGCAATATTTTTGATTTAAAAGTTAAAAACTTATTAAAAAAATTAAAAAGTCCGTAACTTATATTCAAAAGTCAATTTTTTTTTTCTTCACTTTTTAAACATCTTTTCGTAAAAAGTCATTCTAAATATATATATATATATTTTTTTTTATATATCATATTTTTGCTTAAAAAATTAAAAAATTATTAAAATAACATATTTTCAAAAAAGGCATAACTGTATCTTTTTGGTTTGTTGTGTTTTTGAAAAAAAATAATAATAAAAAGATTGAAACTCTCATTCATTTTAATATAAAAAAGGGAAAGAAAAAAAAACCTGTATTTGTTAAAACTTGTGTTCTATTTTCGAAACTCTCATCCATGTTTGAGCATTATTATTTCATTGAGTCCATGCCATGCCCCCAGTAACTTGTTGGCCCCAAAACTTTTAATGGTTAAACTTAAGTTTCTGTTACTGGTGCTTATATGTCATATATTATTAACATGACAAAATGGTAAACCCAAGTTATTTAATAGCACCCCACTTAAATACGCAATGTCTTCATTATGCCTATGGCCCTTGTGGCCTAGTAACTTCTCTGGCTCGGGGATGTGAGACCTAATTCCACTCCCCTTATAATCTGAGGGGAAATGATACAGAATTTTAAAGATAGAGTTAATTTGAGCTTTAATGATATGACAAAACTAAAAAAAGAAAACACATACATCACAGCATGAGTGAAAATTAGCTCATTAGAACTCTTTTAGAATTCTATATTTAGAACTCTCAATCTTTTTCCTAATCTTGGGAGTGGTTTGAGATGTTCTAAGCCTCCGTTTGGGAAGTGGGTTGGCTTTTTGACTTTTTGGCTTTTTTGGCTATTTTAGCCTGGGCTAAAAAGCTTGATTTGGGAAGGACTTTTTGGCTTTTTGGCTTTTTTGGTTTTTTTTGTGAGAGAAGAATGTAATGATTATGGGTTGGATGTGATATTTTGTTTGTTATGGCTAAAATAGCCTATTTTGTTTTTTGTGGCTAAAATAGCCAAAAAAGCCTGAAAACCATCTTTCCAAACAGAGGCTAAATAGAATTTTAAAGATAGAGTTTTAATTTGAGCTTTAATGATATGACAAAACTAAAAAAAGAAAACACATACATCACAGCATGAGTGAAAATTAGCTCATTAGAACTCTTTTAGAATTCTATATTTAGAACTCTCAATCTTTTTCCTAATCTTGGGAGTGATTTGAGATGTTCTAAATAAGTTCACTTTTTGATTTTTTATAAAAAAATATGTGAAAAAGTAGAAAAAGTGAGTAGAAAAATAGAGAGGAGATATTGATAAATATTAATAAATATTAATTGATGTGACCCAAATAAATATATTATGCTAAAAAATATACTTTTTTTAGTGCATGTCAAACCCCTACTTAGGACTGGTTTGACATCACCTACAAAAGTCAGAAATTCAAAAATCATTAAAAAAAAACAAAAAAGTTTATACTTGTGGGTTCAAAGAAAAAAATAAAAATAAATAAATAGTGCAGCTCAATGCTGCAATACAATTCCTCCACATGCAGTACGTGGCTCAATGTAAGTCACACATTCCCATAGAAAACATAAATTGAGTTGCACCGACAGCTGTTGCATGATCAATAGGGGCAATTCAGTAATCTTGTTAGTTGATACAATATTTTATTACATTTTTTTTTTTTTTTTTTGTAAAAAATCAAAAAATTATTCAAAACATACATATTTTTTTTCTTTATTTTTTTAACTTAAAAATCAAAAAGTACACTTATATAATGTAACCCAAACAACTCCTTAGTCTTCCCATTACAATCGTCTCCTCACTGGATCCACCGCGCTACTGTTCCATGTGTCCCCTTGTGGGTAATCACATCAAACTCCTACACTGTAAGGCTGGTCCCAAGTTTTTCGAGAGCCAAGCGAACCATTACTGCATAGGAAATGACTAAAAACTTTGCATAGGAAATGAAAAGTATTTCCATTACTATAATTTACTTACATTGAAAAAAAAATGAAAAATCATTATAAGAACTTAAAAAGACAGAAATATAATACTATTATTTTATAGTTTAGCAAATTCAGTTTATATAAAAACTAAACAAATTAACTATCAACTAAATATTACTCTTCTTAGATGCAAAAGTAATAAATAAAAGAACACCCACAAAACAAAATTCACCAACAATGAAGAGAATATCTGATCCAAACAAAACGAAAACATGACAAAGTTTAAATTAAATAGAAATTAACAAAATTATCACACAAAAATTAGATTTAAAAAATAGGGCAAATTAGAGTTAGGGCACAAATCAAAATTAAGCAAGTCATCAAATAAATAAATAAATAAGCAATGAAATCAATAATTAAAGAAAACAATACTAAATTAATAAGACATGTCCTCAACTAATGTTTTTTTTTTAAAAAAAAGTAGTGAATTTACAAAAAATAATTATGGTACATAAATAAGATTAAGGGCAAAAAAAGAGAGAGAGAGAGAGAGATGCCCTGCCAATTGCTTCGGTTTCTCACAATTTCTTTGAGAGATTCGAACACTTTGCAGCAAGGGAGAGACGTGGTGAGGAAGTGCTAAAGTGATAGAATTTCATTATTTACAACATTCGTCCAATATTTTTTGAAAAATGATCTAATAAAAGAGCTCTAATGAGAGTGGACCCCACTGTGATGTGATATTTTGACTTTTGATTTTATTTTTTTACATTTTTTTTATTCCCTACCACATCATTAGAGCTTAATTAGAACTCTAAAATTAGAGGAATGTATCATTGCTCATATTTTTTACATTCTAATTTAAAACCCCTAATTTTTTGGGGGAGACAACGAGATTTGATCTCACGCCTCACGGAATCAAGATTCTGATACTTGTTAAATCACTATTTGTACCAAAAGTCTAGAATATTACTAAATGGGCACAACAATATATCAAGCTAGCAGTAAGTATCATGATCACAAATCCATGACTTGATTCTTTATCCTCATATAACATTTGACAGGTTGCATCCATCTGCACTATCTGCTAGGATCGCAAAGGGGCAGGAAACAGTTCTTCACATTGCAGCTGGAGCCAGACAGACCAAGTTTGTGGAAGAGTTAGTCAAATTGATGGACATGAAGGATTTGGAATTGCAAACTAAAGCCACCATAAATCTTAGAATGTACGTGCCCCTGTACCAAGCGGCACTTAATGGTGATTGGGAAAGGGCCAAAGAATTTATCAGGTTGCATCCATCTGCACTATCTGCTAGGATCGCAAAGGGGCAGGAAACAGTTCTTCACATTGCAGCTGGAGCCAGACAGACCAAGTTTGTGGAAGAGTTAGTCAAATTGATGGACATGAAGGATTTGGAATTGCAAAACAAGCATGATAACACAGCGCTTTGTTTTGCTGCCGCATCAGGAAACACGAGAATTGCTGAGGTAATGGTGAAAAAGAACGTTAACTTGCCAGCTGTGAGGGGTAGTAAGGGATTGACAGCAGTCCACATGGCTGCATTGTTAGGTCACAGAGACATGGTGTTGTTTCTTTGCTCGGTGACTAGGGATGAAGATCTAACAAAAGAAGATTTCACCGGCTTACTTGTTGCTACTATTAGTTCAGATTTGTATGGTAAGATGATATTATACATGCTTGCTTATTGTTTGCAGACTAGGTGATTAACCCTCTTGTTCTGTTTGTAGATGTCGCTCTTCACATACTTGATTGTCGACCAGAATTAGCAATTGAGCAAGATTCGAATGGGGAGACAGCCCTTCATGTTTTAGCTCGAAAACGCTCGGCATTTTCTGGCAAAAGTGGGCTGGGAGTCTGGCATAGATTTATATATCCATGTTAGTTTCACTATTTCTCTGTAAATTTTTATAATTGAATAACTGATATACATCATGCTGCTTTTAGACAACTCTACAATTTCACTATTCCATATAGTTATTGTGATTAGTGACCCACTAGTGAACTGATATACATCATGCTGCTTTTAGACAACTCTACAATTTCACTATTCCATATAGTTATTGTGATTAGTGACCTACTAGTGAACTGATTAGCTTAGCTTGTTAGTAAATTTGATCACCAGCCAAAACAATTAAAGTCTAGCTGTCTTTTTTCTTAAAAGGGTTCCATGTGGGACAATTGAAGGAGTTTAGCTGCTGCTGCACCAAGACCTGCGGCTTCTTCTCTACTATGTGCAAGTACCAGAGTAGCAGAACCATCCACAGTTGTAACTGTCTCTCTATCTCTCTCTCTCTCTACACACACACACACACACATATATATATATATATCTACCTTACATTGTTACACACACACACATAAAATAAGTTAAGGTAAACATAATCTTCTATTGGAAAATAATATTTTGGAAACATAATCTTCTATTAACCAAATGTTGTGATTGGAATTGCAGCGAACCGCTTCTTCAGTAGACTACTTCAGCACGCAGAAGAAGTTTTTGGTATGCCACGCATTTTATATCTTTTAGCTACATTTTCAACAATCTATAGAGTGATTTACTTTTCCTCTGATGTTAGGTTTCAAGGTAGTTCATGACAAAAAACTACTAGACATGCAATCTCTAGAGTTGGTGAAACGTCTCTGGGGACAAATATTGTTATTGGATGATGCACAGATTGGAAACATACTTAAAAGCCCTTCGCGACCATTATTTGTTGCTGCTGAGTTAGGAAATTTTGAGTTTGTATTTGAGCTCCTTCATTCTTACCCTGATCTAATTTGGAAGGTTGATGAGCAAAGTCGGAGCATTTTTCACATTGCTGTCATGCATCGCCAAGAAAAGATCTTCACCCTTATTTATGACATTGGAGCTCACAAAGATTTGATTACTGCTTATAAAGATTCAAACAATACCAACATGTTACACTTGGCTGGAAAATTGGCTCCATTCAATCGACTTAACATCGTCTCTGGTGCTGCACTTCAAATGCAACGGGAACTCTTGTGGTTTAAGGTAATTCTAAAGTTGTGTTCAATTCAACATTATATTTTGAATATATTGTATTTGATAGTAATGATAGTAAGGCGATTATGAAAAAAATTTAAAATATGAAAATTCACCAAGGGCAATTGTAAAATTTTTATGTGTTTATATTGTTTTATAAAAAATTAATATGAATGTGCAAAAATTTTCTTCAATTTGTGATTTGAAAGATTTAAATTATCTTTGTCAAATTATTGGAATTAAATTATAGATATTGACTTTGGTGGGAAAAAAAATCCTTATAGTATTCTTTGTACTTACTCATTGCCCCCAGTGAAAAGAAATAAATTATGGACCCCTCGCTAGTTTTGCTAGTTTAAACTTTTAGATGTGATCATTGCTAACTATTTAATTACCACCATATTTAAGACTCATACATTTAATTGTGTAATGATTAAATTCTTTTCAATTTCAAAAGGAAGTGGAGAAGAATGTACGACCATCATACAAGGAGATGAGAGACATGGAAGGTCAAACACCCCGAATGTTGTTTACCAAGGAGCACATGGGACTAGTGAAAGCCGGGGAAAGGTGGATGAAAGGCACTGCCTCATCATCCATGCTTGTCGCAGCACTTATCACCACAGTAATGTTTGCTGCTATTTTCACTGTCCCAGGAGGCAATAACAACAACGGCATCCCAAATTTTCTTCAAGCCAAGACATTCATGCTTTTCGCCATATCAGATGCATTTGCCTTGTTCTCTTCAGTCACCGCTATACTAATGTTCTTGTCCATCCTCACTTCTCGCTATGCAGAAGAAGATTTCCTCGAGTCCTTACCAAAAAGATTGATCATCGGTCTTACAACTCTCTTCTTCTCTATAGCATCCATGCTTGTAGCTTTTAGCGCAACATTTTTCATTGTACTTGGCCATCAACTAGCTTGGGTTGTCATTCCCGTGGCGCTAACTGCTTGCATACCGGTAACATTATTTGCATTTTTGCAGTTCCCTCTGTTGGCCGATATGGTTAGTTCTACTTATGGGTCTGGAATTTTTGCTCGTCGTAACAGAGATACTCTTTATTAGAGTTCAAGAATGGATTATTAGTTTGAATGTATAAGAATAGTTTGTAGGATGTACTAAAATATGTTGTTATTTTTTCATTATATATAGCAGTTACAATAGTATTTGTTCATTTTATCAATAAATGTGACAAGGCTATTCTTTTAAGATGTCATTTTCAATTTCATATGATTTGATTTATACTTCAATTTTTAAAAAGCTTACTTGAGCCTTGCAACTTGTATTTTTATGAAAATCAAACGAAATTTCGCTCTTAGTTGTCTAACTTTCTTTCTGCAAATATATATTAATATATTGAAAAATGTTATATCAACTAATAAATCTTATAAACTTTTCTTATAAATTTTCACTTCATTTCATTTAAAAAAAGTATATTTTCAAAAACAATATTAGAGTTTCAATTTGTATTTTTGGTTTTTCGTGAATTGTTTATATATTTTTTTTACTTTTCAGATCCACTTAAAAATACAAAATTTGTGAAAATATTTAAAAAAACAATAATTAGAAAAAAAAAAGTACATTTTTATTTTTGTATTTATTGAATTCTTTTTAAATTTGCTTACAATTTTTTATTTTTATTTTTTTGTTTTAAGTACATTTAGATGAGAAATTAGTCTAAGGTCTGTCTCTTATTTTTAGTAATGGAAGAGGTTCATAATATTAACTCTCTCAAATCAAATCTTATTTCACTCAGTCTCTCTCTCTCAAGGTTTGTTTGGGATGTGGGTTGACTTTTTGATTACTTTAGTCTGGGGCTAAAAAAATTTCGTTTGGGATAAAATTTTTAATTTTTTATAATTTTATGAGAGAAAAAATAAAATAATTATGATTTAGATGTGATATTTTATTTTATTATATTAAAAAATTTATTTTATTTTTTTATAACTATTTTAATTCAAAAAAAAAATCCCATTTTGTGATCAAGTCTTCCAAACCCAATAATAATCTCATGATTCCACAACCCCACACCCCAGAAAAGCACACAAAAGTTTATAAGAAACGACAAAAACAGAACATTATTTGAATTATTATATGCTTTCTCTGTCCCCTCCAAAGCTCCGACAAAGCTATACGATTCTCAGATCTGTATAGCCAATATGCTCGCTTTTATCAACAATGATAGTCAGTGTCCCTAAAAAAAGAACAAGTCTAAACCAACACTTGGGACTTACTTGGGTGTCCTAAATAAGTATATTTTTTATCTTTTTAAATTAAAAAATTGAGAAAAAAAATATTGATGTTTGGGTTAACTTTTTGACTTTTTATAAAAAAATGTGTAATAAAAAATTGTAAAAATTGATTTGTAGAGGAAAATTAGGATTGGGAGTTGTGCAGTCGTAATTATTGACTTTTGATGAATAATGTTAACTTTTTAACTTTTTAAATAACTTGTTAACTTTTTAACTTTTTTTAAATATCTCAAACTTGGCCTTAAAACCAATTTTATTGAAAAAAAATCAATAGGCAAAGGCTTTTTTGCTCTTGATTTGCACAATCACTTAGTCCCTCTGCAATAAAAGACAACCCTTAAAAGCAATCAATTTGATTTGAACTTTTCTATTACCAATAGACCCCAAAGTGTAGAGAGAAATTGCACTGAATATTTCAAATACGGTTAATGGAAACTTCGGATGGTCTTTGAAGTTTATGATTAGTTGGCTATTATGTGAATTGTTGATAAATTTTGATAGGTATAAATTTTAGAGTAGAATTAGATAAGATAAGACAGAGATTTTTTTCACAGAGAAATTTATGAAGAAAGTCAGAGAAATTCTTTATGAACAAAGTCAGAAAAATTTTAATTTTCTTTAAACAAAGCCAGAGAAATTTGTGAATAAAGTCAGAGAAATTTTAATTTTCTCTGATTTGAATTCAGAAAAATTTCAATTTTCTCTAGTTTGAATCTAAAGTAATTCTCTACACGTAATGTGGCAAATTTCTCTGGTTTGGAGAGAATTTCCCTGGGAAGTCCAGAGAAATTTTTGGTTTCAGAGAAATTTTCTGGATCGAATTTTCTCTAGATCGATTTGAGAGACCTTAGACATTATGAAAATATTGAATGTCCTTTATACTATAAAATTTTAATAGCAGAGACTAAAAAAAAAAAAAATCCCCTACTTAGATTAGGTATATTTAAAAAATAATTTTTTAACTAAAATATAATTTTTTATGTTAAAAATAACAAAATACAAAAAGAAAAAATGTCGTAATCTGTTTGATTTGAATTTTTAAAAATATTTTTTTGAGTATTCAATTTATTTATGTTTTTGTTCGTAGTGAAATTTTTAAATATTTTAATTAAATTTAATTATTATATTTTTTAGATCTACTCAATCTAAATATACTTAAAAATTAAAATATTGTGAAGAAATAAATACAAAAAAAATAAGAAAATGTATTGAATTTTTGTATGTATTGGTTTTATCTCATGTTCATATGTCAATGTGAGAGAACTTGTGCGGCCCGTAAGGTGTTTATTTTATAAGATTCTTAATGTATCATTCACGAGAAAAATAGTTCAACCTAATAATCGCAATATTTTTATTTTATCGTATTTGTCTCTAAAAAAATAAATAGTATATTTTCAATAATCGTAACGTTTTTACTTTATTATATTTGTTTCCAAAAAAATATATGGCAAATATATTTTAAAAATAGACCATCTAATTGTTAGCGGTGGTGCTACATGCACTAATTAATATACTAACTAGTGTACCAACACTAGTTATGACATTATTATTGACCCCACTCATTAATCACATTACAAATACCAAAAATCTCTTAAATTATGTGGGTGTTTGGGGAGTGGTTTTTTTAGACTTTTTGGCTTTTTGACTATTTTAGTAAGTTATTTTAGTTTTTGTGTTTGGGCAGTTGGGTTAAATTTTTGGGTTGATTGTTGTATTAAAAAATATGTTTGAAATGATGTTTAAGATTGAAATGACAAATTTGTCCATAATCTTATTTTTTCCAAAATTAATCTATAGGGGTCAAATGGTCATTTAACTATCTAAAGCCTACACTGTGTTGGCGACAGTGTAGGCTGTCTATTGCTGACAACTGCTGCTTTTCATATATATATATATATTTTATTTTTTACTTTTTGAAATCAATGGGTTAGGTGAGGCTAAAAGGATTTTTTGCTATTTGAGGCTAAAATAGCCTGTCTCAATGATTCCCAAACACCGCATATGTCACATCATCAATTGGTACACTAGTTAGTACACTAATTAGTACATATAGCATTATTCAATTTCTAGATACAAATACGATAAAATAAAAATGTTATAATTATGGAATTGACCTAATCTTTTTCATGAATGATATACATTGAGAGATTTATAAAATAAAAAATTTATATCATCAAAACGGAATTCATAATGAGTTCTATGGGTCTCTTAAATTCTTTTATGTTGAGATATGAAGATGACATAAACTGAACTTTTTTTTATATTTAGTGAATTTTTTAATTTTTTTTAGTCTACAATTTTTATACGTAAATCTAAAAAATAAAATAAATTAATTAAAAAATTAATTTTGTAAAATTCAAAGCAAACAGAATCAAACAAACAGTGGGGGTGTTTGGGAAGAAAAAAAATAGCCTAATTTAGGCTAAAAATCACAAAAAGACAAAATAGGCTAAAATAGCTAATAAGACAAAATATCACATCAAACTCATAATCATTTTACTTTTTCTCTCACAAACATCACATCCAATCACAAAAAAATTCAATCATCTTCCCAAACACAAAAATTTTAGCCAACTAAAATAGCCAAAAACTAAAATAGCCTACTAAAATAGCCACTTCCCAAACGAGGCCAGTGTGAACATTTGAAAGCTCCACTCGTTTTTCAACACAAAGTGAGAAGAGTTTGAGTTTGAGTCGTTCTCTGCTGGCCAGCTAGGGCTAGAAATTACGCGGAGATATGGTTCCCCCCTTCCAAAACCAACAATGGATTCCTAGAAGTCTTCGCTCCCTCCTTTCGACCTTGTAATTTCTGTGCATTTCACTCCTCACTCACTCTTTTTTGTCATCGATTCAAATTCACGACTCTGCTTCCAACAACCACCAATCATACATTTCTTTCTTTATATATATATATACATACATATATATATATATATATATATGTATATAGATTCTGTTGTTGTATTTTCTATTTCAAACTCTGCAACTAGAGAACTAACTTGAATTTTGTTTTCTCTACCTCAGCCTCTGGGTCTGTGTTCTGTACAATTCCCCCAAACTGCACAGTCTTCGATCTGCTGGGTCTCTCCCCAGGTATTTATTACCATTTATTTTTCAATTCTTTCATTGGGTTCTTTCTCTTTTGATGGGATTTAAATTGTGTTGTGTTGTGCATCTACTTTGAGATATCCATCTAGCGTTGGGTTTCAAGTTTAAATCTGAACTTGGACAGAACTTGATAGGCCTGTGTATCCCGCCCCCCCCCAAAACACGGTTCCGTTTTGACGGTCCGAATGAAAAAATTATGTTGATCTAATATTCGTAATGTTTTTATTTTTTCTCGCTCTAATAAATGATAAATATGCTTTTAAAAATAGGTAATCAAATTTTTTGGAGATAAATATAATAAACTAAAAAGACTATGATTATTGGATTGTCCTAGTTTTTTTCAATGGATGATAGACACGAAGTGCTTTACAAAATGAACTATTTGGATTATGAAAACTGGAATTGTGGTGGGCCCTACAAGCCTCTCAAGCTTTCTGAAGTTTAGATTTGAAATTGAGAGAAGCCTGCGCATGAATGTATGTATGTATATTAACTGTTTGGTTGCCAAGAAAGTTGAGGGGATGACATGGTTCAGCATTGAATTTGTATGGAACGAGTGTGTAGTGTAAATTTCGTAACTTGCCAGTTTTACAACTGTTGAAAAAATTGGTTTTATAAGGCTTATTTTGGGCCAATTTTGAACCCAAAATTGAGTGGGCCCCAAACGTCTTTTGGGTTGAGTCCGAAGAGGTAAAGTGTTCCTTGCCGCATGGCAAGTCACACGGTGAAGACGGTTCATCAAAGTCATTTATGAGTGAATGGGAACTTGGGGTCGTTTTCGGGTTCGTGGAATTGGACATTTAAAGATTTAAATGTGGGTTTCATTGTAAATTTAGTCTTACATTGAAACT